GAATTATTAAATAACTGCAGTATTTTATAATTTTAGATGTTTGGTATGTATTATTTGAATTATTGAATTTTTTTAGAATGATTAAAAATTTAAAATAAAAAAACGTTTTTTTACGCCTAAGTTTCGCCTAGGCCCGCTTACGCTCGTAAAGTTTGAAACTTGGCCTCCACGCCTAGCCACGCTTTACGCTTTTTGGAACATTACTTCTATGAATAGAAGGTCAAGGCCTCACTTTTTACATTCTCAACCGACTGACGCCACATTTTGAACCTTACAATTTTTTATTTTTATTTTTTGGAATTATGACATTGGAAGCAACTTGACACGAAATTGATAGCTTTGATTTCACATAAAGATTTCGAGTCTCCCTCCCCAAACCCACGTTAGGGAACCTAATTGATCGCCGACTTCCGCTGAAAAATTGGTGCATTCATGCATGTAACTATGATTGAAAATTTCATTTTCACAATAAATTTCGAAACACGACACCTTTTTTTTGTTTTTTAAATAAATTTAATAAAGAACTGGTGACATTTGTTTATTTCTCGATTATCATTGGTTGAACAACTGAGGGGTGTCCGATTACCTAAATTCCTATTCATCATAGACGGTCAAACATAATTGGTACTTAAATTGTTTATAATGATTATGTCTTTTACCTTTAATTGCGGTAACATTTCCCTCAATTTTCTTGCCGTTGCCCGCATTAATTAATTCATTGACCGTTATATATTTACTTGGGTTATAAATAACAATTTTTTTTTTTTTTTTATACCCAGGTGACCCAACTTTGTCAAACTAAATCCTGGACCTCCAAGACCCCTGCCCCTAAAAAAAATAACATTTTTTTTTCTTTTGACAATTGGTTGCTTACTATCATTGTTTAAGATGTCCTATTTGAAATTTCATAAATGCGACCCTTTTTAGTTTTGTTAAAAATCAATTTAGCAGAATTTAATAAAATTTCATCAAATGTGTTGTTGAAAAATGTGAGTTTCATATAATTTGTTATTGAAAATGAGTAAGAAAAATAAATTTTCAAAAACGAGAGCCAAATATGGACTTAATTTAGTGACATAAGATAAATTAGAGGCATTGCATTTCCACCCTGTTCAAGCCCCACTTTTTGGTCAGAATGTATTTTGAAATAGTAAATAGATGAATAATTTGTGATTAAAAAAAATGAATTTGAGTGTAATATTATTTTATTGAAGAATGCGCAGTTAAAAATAAGAGAGGGAAAACTGTATTTTGACAAAAAGGGGGATCAAACAAGGGTTTTATCTACTTTTCTGAATGAATGTCCATGACGGCTACATTCTCAATTAGGGGTCCGTGCAATGTTGCTCCAGTACGTGCGTGGTAAAGCTTTGTTAAAATTTTATTAACTTTTTAAATACTGATGGTCCAACGAATGTGTTGTTAAAAAATGATGTTTGATCAACTTTTTAAAAAACAAAAGTTTTACCAATCGGGCACTAACTTCGCAAAATCAATCTTTTAAATCTCAGGTAGTCGTGTCGACAATGAAGATTATTGTAGAAAGCGTATTTTTTTTGAAGAAATATTATGAAAATTGGAAATTTTCATAAAAATTCAATGAGAGAACCACATTAATCCATAACAAATTAAGTTGAAAACAGTAAAGTACCAGAAATTAAAAGTAAAAACAGAAAAAGTAAAAATATAGCATAATTCAAGGAGATATGTTATTACAGGAAAATTCACAGGAAGACAGCTGAGCTGTCTGATTGGCAGTTTTTGGCAGCTCCCAATCGCAAGAAGACAGTGCATTTTCCTGTTGAATTTCCCTGTAACTTAAAGATTGTTATCAACAACATCAACAGTAGCAGTTCAAGATAGCAACCTCCGGAAAATGGCACGCAGTGCTGCGCATGATAATTCCTTCACTTTCCTCACCACCAGGCGGCGGCGGCGGCTCCGCCTCCGCCTGCGCGGCCGGAATTTTCGCTTCTTCCCTCTTCCAGCCACCCTCTCTTTGACCCTTCCGAAACACTTCTTGGTCCTCTCCGGCACTGTCTCTTTCCTGGAAAATGTATAGCTCCTGAGATACATTTGCCTGCATGAGATGCTATCCACCACCCTGGACCGCAACCGTGATCCTCCGTCCACGTCGATGGCACCCACTGACTTCACAAACTCGGCATCAGATTCCGGCCACTTGTAGAGGTTGACATAGGTGGCCCTCACAGGAATTCTTGCATCTTTAACACAGTTTGATATGCAAATTTTGCTCATTTCTGAATGAATTCTGATGAATTTCTGTAATAAGTTAATGGAATTAGAGCAAGACTTTGATTTACACAGAAACAGAGAGTAGAGGTTGGAAAGTAAATGTGAATGTGGGGAATTTGATATTTTATGGTAGTGTTGTGTGCTGTTGGGAGTAATTATACATAATTAGCTATAACTATCTTACAAAATGTAACTACTTTATTGGATAATGAATCACGATATTACTCTCAATTAAATTGATAGTTGTCATCGCCACGGTTGATGAATAATAATATTATTATTATTTATAAATGTTAATATCCAAATGACTAATATCATATCATCAATGGTATTCAACATGAGTCTGAGTTGGTATGCAAAATATTTTATTGTGTTAATATATAATTAAAAAATAAATATGAGAAATAAAGAGTTTTAATTTAAAAAGAGTCAAACATGTGCTTAATGAAAATGGTGGATCCAATATCTAAATGAGTAATTCCAAGTAGCATTAGCAATCTTCCACATCCATCTAACTAGTACTGGTTCTAAAGGCGGAATCAGCACCCGACAAGTCAAAGCGTCTGTTCGTGTTGGCTTGCCGAAAAAAATGACTATATATTGAGAGGCAGCATCGCTAACTTGCGCCAAGCAAGCAATTTGAACCTGTGGTTAAATGAAGAAATAGCTGGCTGAATGACAAAAGAGTGACTTGCGTAATAAATGGGAGATAACTAGTTGAATGACAATCTGGTGGTGTATCTAGAGTGAGAGATTTTTTTAAAAAATTGAAAATAAATCAATCTTGCGGCGATTTCAAAATATGAGATACCGAAAAATGCAGTTGTTCGATTTTACACTTACGAAGTGAGGTTGTATCATGTATTTGTTATTGTATTTTTTTCCTTATTATTTTAGGTTGTATTGTATTATATTATTTAATTTCATTGTTGAGACAGTTGACAATGACTGTCCTAATTCACTCAAATTCCAGAATTCACTTCGTCGTCTAACGAAATGGTGGGTCCAAATGCTTCATTGGACCATTAAGATAGTATTTCTTTAACTTATTTACAATGGTTAATATCCACGAGTAACATCACATAGCAGTAGTGGCACTAATCTAGTTGGTATTGGATTCCATGATTTTATTGGCAATAAATTACTTTGTGAATAGGCATGATTAACTAGATGCGCATGCACAAACAAGAATGTGACCAGAATTTTCACTAGCGATTTCACTGTAACACGGTTTACCCTTCCATGCCAATAAATTATAATCATTTGAATGTTGGAATGATTCTTGATTATTTTTCCTGTAACAGTGAGCATCACATCACATGATGAACAAACACTTGGCAGCAGCCATTTTTGTTTTTGTTTCTTTCCCTAATCTTTTGGGGTTGGAGGAGTCGAGATCGTCCATTTGTCTCCCCATTCCCTTTCCTTTTTAATCCCTTTCACCATTATTCTCCCATTTGAATTACTTGACAATCTTGAGTAGCTCTTGAAGTCTCGAGTAATTACTCATTCCGGACCTCTCGAGGAGGACCTGAATCTCGAGGAAGAGAGGGAGGGCAGGGAGTCATTTTTACTAAAGATCGACTTTTTTAGGGAAAAATGAGGTTTTATTAACAATGTAAAAACTATTCACGCTTTTTTTTTCCCCCAGTTCGACCATGATCAAGGTCTCTTATAAATATTTTCTCCATTAAAGATAAATCGGGATGTTAAAATTGGAGATTCAAATTAAAGATGGTGAGAAACTTACAAGTTGGAATTCTTTTGCTAATTTCTTATGCTAATTATAAAGTAATTACAACTTATTTCCAATGGAATGACAAACAACAGTTAAAAGCCTAAATATAGGTGCTATTACAATAGATCGAGTAGAATTAATTTCTTGAATTGACTTAAGAAGTATAAGTCCACAAGCCAAACCATGTGGAACGCAATTAGAATCAGTACATTCCACCTCTAAATTCTCATCCATTTAAAATAATATTATGTTGTTGAAGATAACACTCTCTAGTCTATTATAAAGAAGTATTTGGCCTTGGACGAATTATTACATTTACGTATACTCTTAAAACTAGTTTGTAATCAATTTATATAATGTAGTCGAAGATATCCGCCTCTATCTAGAGTCTGTATCTAAGAAAGGTTTTGCCCTTACACGAATCGTTACAATTAAATTTACTCCTAAAATTGATTTGTAAGAAACTTAAAGAATGTATGGAGCAAAGTTGCGTGTCTAGGTGATGCATAACTAGAGTAACTTCAAGTACTGACATGCAGAGTATTTTACACGTAATTAGGTGTCCCCACTGATCTTTAAATCCAACAGGTGGTGCGACGCGTAGACCAAATTTGTTGTTAGTTATATATAATTTTTTTTTTTGGCAAGAAACGTTTTTGTCAAATTGAAAGGCACAATATTTACGGAAAAAAGCAAAAATAATTATATATTATATTTTTGTAATTCGATATATTATGAAAAATAAAAATTAATCATTTATTTTTTCCTTTAATCAATTAAATGGGTCAAATTCCATCGTGAATAGATCAATGAAAATTATCCCAATAGCCCAAATTTACATGCCCCAATTAATTAAAGGGCAATCTTGGTTTTGTAGCTAAATTTAGTGGTGGACTCGAAATGCATTCAATTTAGAAAGACCTAGTCTACAGTGGGGGTTTTTTTAAGTGCAATTATGGAAAAAAAATAAAAAAACCTTTTTTTCTAAATGGTCAGTTTTTGTGTGTTGTCAAGTTTTTCTAGTACACAAGGTTGTTCACATGTTTGAGTTTAAAGCAATCATTTGTTAGAGAAGCTTTATAAGGGCTGTTGACTCCCTTTTTTGTGGTAGTCACGTGGACAACAGATGTCGGGTCAACTCAAGTCCACACAAACAAATTTTAATGCGTTTCGGACGAAAATGATGGAGTTTATAAACATGGGAGATGCTTTATGATGCGAGACAAAGATTTACAGCACCAACAGTATCGTAGATGATTGAATATAAAGAAACAAACAATCATGAACAACTCAATCAAAGTCGAAGTAATCTAGACTCAAGCAAATAAATATGAAATTAGCAAGAGAGAGGACTGAGTATGCGTTCGAGTGTAAAGATTTGTATTATTCTTTTAATAAATTACAAGAGTTGCTTATTTATAAAGTTCTGACCGACGGTAGCCGTTGGATCAGAACCACGTGGCCTCATCTCCCTGGTCGAAATCTCATTGACAACATGTTAGTTATCATACATCCTAGGTTAACAATTCTAACATTCATTAATATAAATGTTACATCAATTATTCCTAGAGATTGTCTGCGGATCCCTTAAAAGAAAGCAAATGTTTCAGCCTAAAAGAAAGCTTCTGACAAGGAGGGTGCTTCGGCCAAGAGATCTCCGGATAGAGATAAGGCTTCGACCATACAAGAGCTTCGGAATAATGAAATCAGCTTCTTCTTTGACTTCTTTATTCTGACCAATTCGATCTTCGTTGACTTTATCAAATCTGACTCAATGTCTCCACGTGGCTTCCACTAAGAGCTTCGGTGGTAAGGCGTACCAAGTGCAATATAACTAACCAATTAGTAATAGATACTACGATAAAACACAAGATCTAAACCAATGTGAAATCTTGTTTAAAATAGCCATATCAATAAGTAGTTTTCATTTGAGAAATGCACGTATTACTTTGAAATAGCTGCAATACCAGAAGGTTCGCCCGTTGCAGTCACAACTTCCTTGGTTGGCACTTGGGCTTGGCACTCAGAAGATGAAACTTGTTACATTGGGTGCTAAGGCTAATGTACTTAGGACTTTTAAAGTGGATGGCACCACTTATAATCATTTTGATGGTAAAATTCAGGACTGGCCAATGGATGGTATGGATTTTAATCTTCAACTGATAGTAAAAATAGCTGCAATATTCAATGATACCAATGTTTAACAGTTAGAAAACAAGTTTGTAGCCAGTGGAATGCCCATTGAGGCAGCTTTAAAGGTCAGGCATTGTGTTTCAGTTCTGTGTTTTGTCCTTTTAAAATGAAACTATTTTTCTTAATTTCTAAATTGCTTTTAAAAAATGAAGATGTTCATCGAGTACATATATTACAAGTTTTAAGTCATGCCCTTCTGGTGGATTAGTACTCTCGCGGGATTGTAGAGGATATGCTATAATCCGATATTCTGATTAGAGCATGTTTTGTATTTAGAATTAGATAGTGCTGCACAAAAAAACTAACGAAACATAAACTTGTTTCTTGTCTTAATCGAGTATTGCCTCATCTGCATACCAATGTCCAATTAGTGTTCACCCAAATGCACAAGAGATGCTGTAGAAATTAATTTCTCTTCGATCACCTATATTTCTCAATAGTGTTTATAGAATTAAGTAGCAGCATTGTGATAACTGATGTAATATTTCTGATTGAAGGCTTGTGATCTCTTCCCCTTTAATTCAGGTTCTAATTGTGGAAATAGGTCTTCCCAGAGAGTTTGATCACCAAACCTTTGAGTTGAGAAAATTTATTACGTAAGTTGATAGCATGTCATTTTTCATTCTAATTTTTTACTATGGACACTTTAAAATGACACGTTCTGCTTGCATCATTTTCCATATTCAAGAATGTTTCAGGCAATGGGATACCATCGATTCCCAAATACCCGCTTTGGAGTTTGATCGAGAGAGGAATGTAAGCAATTAAATAACCATAATACCAAGATCTTTAGAATTCATGATTTTCACATATATATTTAATTGATCAAGAAACATACATTGATCCATAGCAATAATTGAAAGATTTAAACCAGCAAATTAGAAATCAGTAAAATCTAGAAATCGTTCTCTCTTTTCATCTCTGTAATTGAATGTTTTAATTTGATGGGCTTCATTCACGTTTATAGACATGGAGAGACAGTTTCATGGCCACAAAAGAAAACTACCAACTTTCCATCAAAGTGTATAGTTATTAAACTGTCACTTTTCAATGGACCAATAAAATTTAACAA